ACATGGGCCAGTTCTGGTATTAGCTCTTCCAGGTTGGGTTGCCCAGGAAGCAGACTTTTAGATGGAGATTAGGGTTCAGGAAGTTTATCAGGGTATGTTGTTGGGGTGGGTAGGGAAGAAAGCAAGATTGAACAGAGGTGGAAGTCGGGCTGTGATGCATCTTAACATAGGACTCAGCTAACCAACCCCAGGAGCTCTAAACTTGGAATGGACCTTCTGACTTGCTCAAGTTGGGGTGAAGGACTGGGCCATTTTAGCCCTGACATCAACTGGTCATTGGATGAGGGCTTTCCTTGGTTGAGGTGTCACTTCAGCTGAGGTGCCTCCTGAAGAAGGTGGGTAGCTGAGGGCTGTCTGCCAGCAGAGCTCCCAGCAGCTAAAGGAATTAATCCTTCAGTTTCGAAGGGAGAACTGAGTGGTACATTGTATCATCCATGATAGCCAGGGATGCCCTTTCCTCATTTGTTTTCTGGCAAACATCTACTCACATTTCGAGATTTAGCTTGGGCCTCTCCTCCATGAAGCCTCTTCTGACCTCCTTTTTCTCACTCAACAGCACTGATCACTCCCTCCTCTGTACTCATAATACTTTCTGTGTGCTTCTGTCATTGCCCCATGGCATTTTGTCTGTTTACTCCACATCAATAGCCCCTAAAGGTGTCACTGGATTAGGGTACAGTATGGCTACTGATGCTCATTATGATCACTCTAAGTCAGTAAGAAAAGGCAGGGCAAATGTGTAACCCTTTTTTTTTTTTTAATTTACATTAAAAATGGTAAAAGAAAAAAGTTTAGATCGTACAAGAGGTAACCTTCACCTATTTGTAACTCCTTCACTTGTATTAAATCTCTGTTTCATAAATGTATCTTCCAGGTCTTTCAAGATGTTAGAAAATTATGCAAAATCTGCAATAAACACACATTTGTTGATTTTTTTCTAATCCAGCAAGAGAGAGCTGTTTACTAAACATGATATGAAGCCTGAAGGAATGAACACTAAATTGTTGGCTTGGGGAGTTTTTAGAATGTTGCTAAATGTACTGAAAAGCTTTGTGGAAGTGAGCACAGCAGGGCAACCTCCAGTATCCCAGAAACCTCTCCTGCCCTTTGTCCCCCTTCCCACAAAATCATCTTATTGATACTTATTCCAGTTATAGAGAACTGCAGATTCTGGGTTAGCAGATATTGCAGATATTGGTTAGCACTTCTATGGGTGAGACACTCCTCAGAGTCCATCTGTCTTGTATTTTGCTATTTGAAGTTTTCTAAAATAAGGAAGTGAAAGCAATATGCTTTATATAGTGTCTTGGCATGTTCTTCTGTACCATATAATGGATATTGTAATACCATCTATCTTGAAATAGTCTTAGGATGACATATTAATGCTTCCAAAGCACTTATTAAATCCCTAGAATGATCTCACGTAGGTGCAGTGTTATATTATTTAGAGTAGGAATTTCTAAAGGTATACAGTGCTCCTTGGAGTTAAAGAATGTTTGGTCAGATTAGATAGTATGTAAAACAGCACAATGCTTTCCTATTTAAAAGCGTGAAATATTATAATCTCCATGCACCATGTAGATATTATTACACATTTCTTCTTGGAGACTCTGGTTTTTGCACTGATGTTTGCCATTACAGGTGAAGCAGTATTGTGTAACAACAATTTCCTGAGCACTAAAAAACAGTATGCCATACAGCAGTTTGCTTGTTACAGAAAAGTTTAGAAAAGACCCACTGGTAAATTCCAGACCTTCACAGTTTTACCTTCCTCTGTGATTCTTCGTTTTCTTTTAATCAATCTTAATTGTGTATAATTGTTGCTATTGGGCAGACTTCTCCGTTGTGCTGAATGAACTGTTGTACCCTCCTCTCCATTGTGTATGTACATGTATGTGTGTGTGTAAATTACTTATTCATGCTAAGGGAGGTTCCCTAACCTCCACCCCTTTAAACTAATAGTGATTTTTATCATCTTAATTCTCATGGTTAGGATATATGGATCTATAGAATTCCTCACTAATATTAATATCTACATTCCTCTGAAAGGGAAGATTTGACAATTACATGCAAATGATCAACTTTGAACACATAATAACATGAAGAAAAGAGTTTCGTAAATTTTGACAGGTATGGCAAGAGAGTATAAGAAGGATACTTGGTACCAGTAGGAACTGTGTCAACCCTGTAAATCTCCAGGGTTGTACAAATTGGAAAAGCCTCTAAGACTGTAGAACTGGAGGAGACTGGGGTACCTTTAGCAGCCCCAAGTGCCAGGAGGCCACATGTGGGCTCAGCAGATGTTCACGTGACCATAGGAGGCCAGAGACCAGGTGATGCTTAAGATGCTATCTGAATTCTCCTGAACACATTCAACTTAACCACAGATGACAGCTCCGATTGGGTTCAAGTTAGGTTATGTCTTCAATATGGATACCAAACTAAGCCTTCAACCAGGATCTGGGGCAAGAATGTAAGTAAAGGCCCATGTGTCAAGTTATAAATCAAACTGCTAAATAAAACTCATCTTCTTTCCTTGACAAGTATACCTTCATAACAACTCAGAAGGCTACATCTAATATTCAGTGTTTCAGAGTTCTTGTAGTTCTATGACTGAGAGTGGTAGATTGGGGAGACCTGGCCCCTGGAGTACTCCTCCCTTCTCTTGCCATCTCTGGCTCTTTCCTGGCCTCTCATGCCCATGCATGAGCATGGACACTCCAGCCTACATATACAAGCCATCCACATCCTCAGGATACAGTTGCTCCTTGGACACCCCTGAGTGTTGGGATGTGTACCTGATAGCATGATCTGTCTTCAGGAATGGACCTGGAGAAGCAGCCACTGCAGGCTCGGGGCCCCTTGGACAGAGAATCCTATTGTTCTACCTAAGCTGTGGTCTAGAGGAGAAGGCATGGGGCCATGATGGGCACATCCTCCTGGCCCCATGGATTGCAGGTCCAATAGCAGCAAGACCTCCAACAATCCACTCCCTTGTTCCATGGATTTGTGTGGTTTAAGTCACAGATACACCATTAGTCATTGAGAGTCTTATTATTAATACTAGTGATGAATAATTCCCACATTTCATTAGGTTAGCTCAGATAACAACCCTTTAACCTATGTTGCCTCCTTGCTAAGAGAATTCTTGTAGATAAACTACAGATATAGATAATACATTTTACTTTACACAGCAGCTTTGTTCTATGCTCAAATTGGCTGTACCCATTTATTCATTATTAGTTGATTTAAGCTATTAGAACCAATTTTGGTGATGAGGGTGGAGAGTAGTTTTAATGCCCTTCTCTTACAGGTTTGTGTTTCAGGAAGTTTTTGTTTTGTTTTGTTTTCTTTTCTTTTCCTTTTCCAGTCTATTTAAGCTCGCTTGCAAACTAGCATGTGTCTAAATGTCCCTGGCATTCCAGGGACAAAAGTGTGCAACTGACAGTAGGGATCCCAGAGAGCCAGGGCTGGTACAGCTGCCCTGTCAGCCTCCTTCCTGGGCCCTTTGGGCTGCCTCTCCCAGGACCTGGTTTGTGGACATCTCTGCCTGTTAGTTGAGCCAAAGTTTAGAGTAGTAGGAACAGTCCCCATATTTGATATTTTAATCTCTCAACTTCTGCATTCCCTTTGTCTTTCTTTTAGAGAACTATCATTGCAAATAACCTTATCTTCTAGCAGAAACAGCAGAAAGCTCAGCTAACTGAACACAAATGATCGAGTTTATACGTATTTTTACATTAAAAAATCAGGCAAAGTCCACTTTTAAGGACATGGTATAGAAGTGGGGCAGCCAAAGGTGCTGTGAAGAACTTTGTCTCAGCTAGTCTGCACACTCAGGAAGGCTGTAATCTCAAAAGGCTCATATTTTTTCATTTGAGGTAGTATTGTGTAGTGGTTATGAGCATGTGGTCTGGCACTGGACTGCGAATTTAAAACATGGCTCTAGCACTTATTACCAAGACCTGGGTGCTTCACTCTTGGTACTTCAGTTCCTTTTATGATAAATGTAAATAATAACTCTACATATTCATACATTAATACTTGCAAAGCAGTTTGAATAGTGCCTGGCACTTTGTAAGTGACAATAAATAAGTCTTTATTATCTCATGGAGTGTACATGCAATATCTCCACCTTCTACATAAAATGTGAGGAACTAGCTATATTAATAAAATTTTTAATAGGACTGGAAAATGCACAGTTTCTCCTTTGTCATTACTTCTTGGGTTTCAGTGCATCTTGTGAAGATGCTTCATGATCTTGTTCTTGGCTCCAACCATGGATCATAGCATTGTGTCCAATCTCCCCTGGTGCTGTTGTCATCACATATTACTGACCTGTGTCAGGAGAGCCCACTGCTACACATTGCTCTTGTCAGAGGGGTGGGAGCTCCCATTTCCCTCCACCTGTGAACAGCGGTTTTTTATTCCTCCTGGAAACAAAATAAGTGTTTACTGCTTTATAAGATTGCAATGCAAGATCTGGGGTGTTCCTTTCCCTTCTCTTAAGCTTTAGTTAAATTAATAAATTGAGTTAAATGAATGAATGAATGAATGACATTTCCTGTTAAATGATGGGAGATGCTTTCATATTTCTGTCCTCTACCAGCCCAGCTGTGCTTCTCAGTAGCAAGTTGCTCTGTCCTAGATCAGTTAGTAGATCTCATTCATTTTGACATGATACCACCATAGGATTCCATATCAACATTCTCATAGCCATTAACTGCCAACTCTGTCTCCATCCATAAAGCAAAATGTATGTAGATCCTACACATTCCAAGGCAAATAAGACAAGACATCAGCATGTGTTCTTCTTCCTTTGTACTCACATCATGGTGTTGCAAAAACTCCAGGAGGCATTTTTCTGATCTATTTCATTTTGAAACTCACTTGAGCCTGGAGAATTGACATTTAACATAAAAAAAAAATTACACTTATACGGTAAACCCGATTTCGAACAATGGGGACAGAAATGTAATACGTAACAACTTTTCTTTCAGTCACAGAAGATCTTATTAGACGAAATGCTGAACACAATGACCGTATAATTTTTTCCCTGGAGGAACTCTCCTTGCATCAGCAGGAAATAGAAAAACTAGAACATATTGACAAATGGTGCCGGGATTTAAAAATTCTCTATCTTCAAAATAATCTTATTGGAAAAATCGGTAAGTTTCAGTACTTCGTTCTTCTGGTTTCTTTAACATTTTGAATAAGAGAACTTTGGAAAGTGCAGTGTTATTTTTAGAGGAAGGCAAACACTGAAAAAGAATTACATGGGAAAATAGAAATAGCTATCTTTCAATAGTTGTGTCAGGAACATTTTCCTGAACCTTTCCACATGTAGTGAGTCTCATTGCCCAAAAGAATCTCCGTCAAGGAGTTGGAAGAGCCAGTGACAGTGGGGAAGACATTAATTGACCTGATTTGTGAAAAAGTTTGAAAGGGAGGAGGATATAATCTAAGCATTTGTCATGATTTTGTATCACTCTGTGAAACCATAAGGATTATGTGGGAATTGAACAGGTTATATTTATTGTGAATATATGTGCAAGGCATTGTGCTCATTATTGGGTATTGAGGGGGTTCCAATTTGGAATGAAAATGAGGGTTAAATACAGGAGTTGGGTAGATGAAGATCAAAATAACAGCATTATAACTGATAAAGCTCGTTGAATAATGTGGCTTAGACTTGCAACCAAGTGGGCTCCCAGACTAAACCTATCCACCCAGTCACATACAGAGCTGGACACACACGAGTTTCCCCTACTCAGATGGGTCCTTGCTTTATGGCAGGAAGGGGCTGAGACCATGTGCTCTCTGCTGGCAGGAAGATCCCAGAATCAAGGCAAGAGGGTGGGACTGTGCATGCTCAGTTTCTTCTCCCAATTAACCCATCAGGTAAGTTGGTCCTTCCTTCACCTCCAGCTACCCCCCACTCCCACCCCCGCCACCATTCATAAGAATGATGAACCCAGGGATGGAGAGAAAGGAGTCATGTGGACTCACTCCTATGGAAGTCCTGCCACTTGGAAACAGGAGAGTATCCCCAGTGCTCAGAAAAGCAACAGTGTAACTTAGCAGTAAGAGCGAACGCAGTCTCTGGTGTCAGGTAGACCTCAGTTGGAACCCTGCCTCTGCCACTTATAAGCTGTGTAAAATGAGACACATTAGTTAACTTGTCTGAGTCTTAGTTTTGCCATTTGTGAAACAGCTAACGTACGAATTGGTATAAGGATTGCATGAAATGATGTGCTTAGCATTATGCTCACCATGCGATAAGTAATGATTAGAGGATAGCTGCTGTGCTGCTGCTGTTATTAGTTTGACCATGTGCCCCAGCTTGCCCCAGGCCAGCCAAATGAAGGTGGGAGCAGAAGGGACAAGAGAATGGGGCTGCAGGAAAAGGAATGGAGCCAGGGTTGGTGAAGCACACAGTGCCAGTTCTATTTAACTTTCCGTGATGATGTGCAGTGGTCCCCAACAGGGGGCATTTGGCAATGTCTGGAGACATTTTTGATCGTCACATGCGCGCGCGCGCGCATGTGTGTGTGTGTGTGTGTGTGTGTGTGTGTGTGTGTGACATCTAGTGTAGAGCCCAGGGATACTACTAACCATCTCTCAATGCACAGGACGGCCTCTCACAGGAAAGAATTATCTAGCTCAAAATGTTAGCATTGCCGAGACTGAGAAACCCTGGTGATGTTGTTGCCTCTAGTTTTGCAGATAATTGAAAATTGGCTTTAGGATTGTGAAAAGCCTAGATTTGCATCATTTTTTGAAGCTATACTAAAATTCTCTATATTTCTTCAGATATTATTTTCAGCATCTTTTACTTTACCAGAAATTAGAAACTCCGGCACATTGTTCAATTAAAAAAGCTATTACAGAAAACCACCAGCTTTTATTATGCATGGGGGCATCAAAGAACGGTTCTAATTGTACAGATCTAAAAGAGTTCCCGAAATTTTAATCTCCACAGCTGGGTCCATCACAATTACTAATTAGTAGCATAGTATTTCAGTGCTTTTCAGAGCTGTGAGAAAGCTTAAATTTTTGCTTCCAAAGTATTCTTAAATTAAACACTCTTTTAAATCCTAATAATGGGATTTTCAGTGCTACTCCACCCATAGGCACTTAGGCATTTATTTTGCAAGTAAAACTACTTCTCTAGGATTCAGACTTGCTGTTGTGCCATTGAGGTGGACGTTCGAGTAGCAGTTGCCTTTCCTAAAGCTCTTTTCCTCCCTGGGAGTACAGATGGGCTGTGGAGGAAGGCCCTGTTGAGTGCCGCTCCAGCGTGAGCCGAGCACCATCTGGGGTCCCGTCAAAGTGCAGATTCTGGACCCCACATCAGACCCACTGAATAAGAACCTGTGGGGGTGGGCTCCAGTAATGGACCTTTCAGTGGCTTCCCAATGGGCCTTGGGCCTGGAGGAAGCTGAGGGCCACAGAGGTTCTTGAACCTGAGAAGGGATTGGGTCCATTGCAAGTTTGTGGGTCTGCTTGGGGCAGTTGGTGAGAATTGCTTCCAGAATGGTCTGGGCTAGAACTCTCAGACTTCCTCTTTCCCGCTGCTCAAGAGGTTCCGTCCAGAGCTTTTTTTTCTTCCCCCAACCAAGTTAACTCTGTTGTTCTTGAGGAGTTAATTTAGGAAACCCTCCCTGAACAAATCTTACCTTTTTTCCTGTCAGATGACTCTTTTAGCATATAGAGCGCTATACATATAACAAAGATGGAGAAGGGAATTTTATGTTAAGCAGATATTTTATGGTGGTCTGGCAATTTTAACAATGATAACTTTATTTTTGTGCAGGATGCAGACTAGACACTCTGTCTATCATAATTCTTGGCACACAGAAACCTCCAAATCTGTTGACTATTGAATGCTCAGCTGTTGCTAGAGAAACTTTCGTAAACATTAGTATTACTTAGAATAATTTAATTCCTGTGAGAAACTTTAGTAATTATTTCCAAAATCCTCATTTTAGAAAATGAGTAAACTGAGACTTGGAGTTTTTTTCTCAGGTCTATGGAAACAAATATATGATGTTTTGTAAATTTTAGATGAACTATTAATGATGATAAGGCTGATGATTATATTATATATCATCCTGTTTGATCTTCATGTTATCCCTGAGAAATAGGCAGAGGAGGCATTAGTTAAGTAAGGCTGCCCCAAAATGCACGTTCTTTGGCAGAGTTTTCTACATTCCTGTCATCTTAGGAAGGACTGTTCTCTTAAGGTATATAATATCATGATTTAGTGCCAGGCTCTGGAGCCCAATTTCCTGGCTCTACCACTTAACCTTGGACGAGTGGATTAATTCTCTATACTTTGATATTCTCATTTGTAAAAAGGGGACAACAATCGTTTTTAACCTCATAGGGCTATTAAATTAGATAATACATGCAAAATGCTTAGAACATTGTGTGATATCTAGTAAGCACTCAGCAGTGTTAGCTATGGTAGTATTATCTGTTTTTATTTATTTATTTATTTATTTATTTTTATTTATTTATTTTTTTATTTCAGCAAATTATGGGTGTACATACGTTTAGGTTACGTGTGTTGCCCCTGGTTCCCCCCCAACCGAAGTCCGTGTTTAAAATATGTCCATCCTTCGGGTAGTGCGCATTGCACTCCTCGTGTATACAAATACCCGTCCCCTCCTCCCTCCTCCCCCCTCCTCCCACCGCCCTTCCCGTGGTACAGATGATTAGGTTAGGTGTGTTGCCCTTGGTTCCCCCCCCACCGAAGTCCGTGTTTTAAATATGTCCATCTTTTTAAAAGGCTTCATTCTACAGCGGTTCTGCGACTTGTTTATGCTTGTTTTGCCTATGTAGACTTTCATATTTATTAAAAAAAGATAATCCTGTATTAGGTTGATTTTGGCTTTAAGTCAGAGGAACCCAACTCAATTGTAGCAGAACAGTAAGGAAATCTATTTTCTTACCCAGCTGTAAGTCTCGAGGTAGGACAGACTCCAAGGTGGGTTGACTCCTAACCTCTACTCTACTAGCCACAGTGTGAGCTTCATCCTTTAGCTGCTGCCCTCATGATTGAGTGTGAGTATCAGCACGAATAGTACTTTCTTCCCTATTAACATTCAGCAGGAAGAGATAAGAAATCCCCAAGCATGGAATATAGGTCTTTCCCTTTCATCTGATTGGTAGTACTTGGTGTGCATGCCCTCTCCTGTACCACATGGTTGCCAGGAGACTGCCATGAGCTGGTTGGCTTATGCCTAGGTTCCTGAGCTGTCACTAGCAAGAGAGATTGGATTGCTATGCACTGGTTCAGCTTGGCTAAACCTAACTGTCTGGAGTTTGGGATGGGCAGGGACATGAGCCATATTGGATTCCATCCGGAGGGATGGAGGAAGAAATGGAAACGGCATAGGCGACCACAATGTCTGATGTACAGGTAGAGATTTGAAAAAGCAAAATAGTTTTGATAGCCAAAATAATAATCCTTAGATTCTCTTTATTATTTTCACAATAGATTATGTAAGAACATCAAAATGTTTTTTATCTTGAAACTTCATTAATTACATTATTTGTATATTTCAGAAAATGTTAGTAGACTGAAGAAACTTGAATATTTGAATTTAGCTTTAAACAACATTGAAAAAATAGAAAATTTGGAAGGTAAGAATTTTCCTCTTTTATCATAAATTAAAATTGAGATTTAAAAGTAGCTTTAAACAGCATTACATAATAATAGGTATGCTTTTTAAATTAACATTTTACATAAATCTTATATTTACTCTTGTAAAAATTCAAACAATAAAGTGATGTGTAAATTCCAAAAGAAAAGTTCATTTCACCCCTTCCTAACCTGCTCTCTTTCCCAGAGATAGCTGGAGTTGACACTTAGGTGCATAGGAGGTAGTTTCATTTCATTTTTCTATCAATGGGATCATACTATGAGTATTGTTTTGAAATTATTTTTTTTCCCTGCAATTACCTTGCTCTTTGGATATCCAGGAACGGGAGCATGGGGCTATGTACTGGAATGATTGTAGACTGATTTATCTAACCATCTGCTTGCAGATGGACATTTGGATGGGTTCCAGCATTTTGCTGTAATAAGCATGGCTGCAATGCAGCCTTCTGCGTTTTAGTTTGTGTACATGTGCATGGTTTTTTTCTAGGATAGATACTAAGAAATGGAATTCCTGCATTTAAATAAGCATATTTTGAAAGATACTGCCAAATTGTTCTCCAAAAGGATTGTATCAATTTATACTTTCACTGAGTCTATGCGAGTACCCATTTCTATATAACTTCACTAATACTTTGTTTTTATAGTAGACATTCCATCATAATGGGTATGAAGTGGTATCTTATTATGGTTCTGATTTGCATTTACCTAATGACTAATGATGTTGAACATTTTTTATGTGCTTATTGTCCATTTGAATATCTTCTTTGGAGAAACGTTTATTCAAAACTTTGGCCCATTTTTTAATTAGGTCATATGCCTTTTTACTGTTGAGTTGTAAGAGTTCTTTGGATATTCTGGATGCCAGTCCCTGATCAGATAATTACAGATATAGTCTCCCATTTTGTTGGTTTTCTTTTTAACTTTCTTGATGGTGACCTTTGAAGCACAATTATTCTTAATTTTTCCTGTAGTTCTTCTTTCTTGAGATGTTTTTGGTTTTCTGTCATTATAATATGGGCCTTATAGAATAAATTGAGAATTACTTCTTATTTTAATTATTTATTTGGAGAGTTTGTGAAGAATTGGTGTTAATTCTTCTTTAAATATTTGTTAGAATACACCAGGAAGCCATTTGGTCCAGGACTTTTCTTTATGAAAATTTTTTTGATTACTAATTTAATCTCTTTGCTTATTATAGGTCTATTCAGATTTTCTCTTTCTTCTTGAGTCAGTTTTGGTAGGTTATATCCAGAATTTGTCCATTTCACCTAGGTCATCTTATTCGTTGCCGTATAATTGTTTTTACTACTCCCTTATAATCCTCTTTATTTCTTTAAGGTCAATAGTAATTTCTCCTCTTTCATTCTTGATTTTAGTAAATTTGAGTCTTCTCTCTTTTTATCTTGATTAGTGTAGCTGAAAGTTTGTCAATTTGGTTGATCTTTTCAAAGAATCAACTTTTGCTTTTGTTGATTTTTCTCTATCATTTTATATTCTCTATTTTGTTTATTTACACTCAAATCTTCATTATTTTTTTCCCTATCTTTATTTTGTGTAGAGTTTTCTCTTTTTTCCTAGATACTTAAGGTGGCAAGTTAGGTTATTTATTTGATATCTTTTTTTTTTCTTTTTATGTAGGCATTTACAGCTATGAATTTTCCTCTGAGAACTACTTTCCTTGTATCTGTTAATTTTTGGTATGTTGTGTTTTTGTTTTAATTCATCTCAAAGTATTTTCTGATTTCCCTTGTAATTTCTTCTTTGACCTATTGCTTATGTAGGAATATTGTTTAATTTTTACATATTTATGAATTTTCCAAATTTTTTTGTTTTACTGATTTCTAGTTTCATTCTATTAGGGGTCAGAAAAATACTTTCTATGATTTCAATCATTCCAAATTTATCGTTACTTGTTTTATAGCCCAACATTTAGTCTATACTAGAGGATGTTCTATGTGCATTTGAGAAGAATGTGTATTCTGCTATTCTTGGATAGAATGTTCTAAAGATGTCTGTTAAGTCTGCATGATTTTTCTTTTTTAATGTTGTCCTACTCTTCTGTTTCCTTGCTAATATTCTGTCTAGTTGTTTTATCCATCTTTGAAAGCAGGTTATTGAATTCTCCAACTATTTATTGTTGAATTGTCTATTTCTCCCTTCAATAGTGCCAGTTTTTGCTTTATGCATTTTGGGACTCTGATGTTAGGTGCATATATGTTTATAATTATTTTTTCTTTTTGAAGAATTGATCTTACTATTATTATAAGATGCCTTTTATTATTTCTAATAACAATCTTTGTCTTAAAGCTTATTTTGTTTCATATCAATATAGCCGCTCCAGTGCTTTTGTTTTGTTTTGTTTTGTTTACTATTTGCATGGTATAACTTTTCCCATCCATTAACTTTACAACTATTTGTGTCTTTGAATCTAAAGTGCTTCTCTTTAAACAGTATATAGATGGACCATGTTTTTATATTTATTCCATCCTGTGAATCTCTGCCTTTTAATTGGAGAGTTTAATTCACTTACATTTAATATAATTAGTGATAAAGTAGAATTTGTATCTACTATTTTGCTGTTTTCTGTATATCTTATGTCTACTTTTTTCCTCTGTTTTTATATTACTGCATTTATTTCTGTTAGATTTTTGTGTCTGTGAGTGTGTGTACCAATTTAATTCCCTATTGTTTCTTTTACTATATATTTTTGAGTTATTTTCTTAGTGGTTTTCCTGGGATTTACAATTAACATCTTACTTTATAACAGTCTAATTCAAATTAATACCAACTCCATGTCAATGGTATACAAAACTTTGCTCCTATATAGTTTAGTTTCCCTCCCCTCCTTTATACAGTTATTGTCACAGATTACATCTTCATACATTATCTGCCCGTCAACATGGATTTATTATTATTTCTTTTTACAGTCATCTTTTAAATAAGTTAGGATAAAAAATAGTTCAGAAAAAAAAATAGTTCAGAAATACATTTATATTGCTCTTTCTATTTACCTATGTAGTTGCCTTCATTGATGGTCCTTATTTTTTCAGGTGAATTTGAGTTTCTCTCAAGTATCTTTTTGTTTCAGCCTGAAAAATACCCTTTAGTACTTTTTGTAGTGTCATGTACAGACATTGCTAGTGACAAACTTCAGTTTTTTTTTTTTTTATCTAGAAATACCTTAATTTCTTTTTCATTTTTGAAGGATAGTTTTCGCAGATATAGAATTCTTGGTTGACAATTTTTCCTTCCCTCGCTGCCTCCCTTCCTTCCTCCCCCTCTCCTTCCCTCCTTTTTCCATCTATCTATTTATCATCTTTTCTAGTGACTTCCTTTTCTCTGTTTTCTTTGATCTCCTCAAGAACTTATTTTAATTCAATTTTTGTTATGTTAGACTGATCTTCTGTGACTGTTAACCTGCATCTCTTATTTAAACCCCTTTGCCTTATTATTCTACAGTCTGGGATATTTCACCAGTTTTAAATTCCAGAATAATTATTTTTATATTCATCTCTGCTCATTCTATAATTCAGTTCATCTACAGTCAACTCTTTGTTTTGGATATAATTGTTATTCTCCTGAACTCAATCATGTGCTCTGATTGCTGCTTCCTGTGGTGTGTATTGTTATTTTATGGATGATATATCTTCTAAAATCTCTTTGGAGATACTTGTTAAGACTTTTTGCTTTTGATTTCTTCCATTCACTGAATTGTCTCTCTTCATCCAAGGCTATTTTATTTTGTAGCCTTCTATTTTGTGCCATTTTTCTCTAAATGTCTGGTAACACTTGGTGTCTGATTATAATCACAAAGGATTTGGTTTATTAGGTGGCTGGTGTGGGCTTATTCTGTAGTTATGAGGCTCTGTTTCCTCATCCAGCCTCTTGCCTGTCTGGCAGAGCCACTGTGCACTCTGTGAGTGGGTGGGGCATGCTGACTGGCAGACTTTACTTACGAGTGCAGGGGCATGGAGCAGAGGCAGGCAAGCTGCTCTCCCCATCCCACTCCCATCTGCCAATAGCTAAAATTAGGACTTTACTTGGGTCATGGTGGACTTTAGCCTATTTGCCTGTGAGTGTAGAAATAGGTATTTCAGGGACTATTAAGGTTGTCTATCAACAATGACATAAATCTGCATCGTAAGTTTTTAATTTTCATCCTCAAAACCTAGAAAATTACCACTATCAAAGCTCTCAAACTCAACATCAGTGCTGGAATCAAGATTATCCTTTCCATCACTGACATTTTTCTGCATTAGAAATTGAGTCATAACTCTCTCCTAGCTAACACTGTACAGCCCTGTTCTCTTGTGAACAAATGGAATAACAAAATCTACTCTATGTTTTGTGGTAATGAAGTTTCAATCTAAAATGTCATAGAAATAATTAAAACTCTCACTCTCTGTTGGGTTGTCCAGGGCTTGTTATTTTTGTTGAAAAAGTATCTTACAGGATATGAAAAATTCTGTTTTTGTGGTATGCTTTATTTATCTGCCACTAGAGGACAGCATCGTCACTATTGTCTTTTTGAGCTTTGCAAACCACAGTCCGGAGTCCACCTCTAGCCTTATACCTGGACGGGTCTTCCTTTTGGTGCTTTGCCCTCCAGCTCTAATACGGATGAATTAATTGGGTGGAAGGTAATTTGAGGATTTTTTGGTCAGGGGTGGGGACAAGAGAGAGGAGGATACATCTTATCTGCTGGCAAATAAGTACTTTTTGTTTGATTTTAAGGGTTTAGGGTGAGAGAGGAGGAAGATGGATATATACACTAAGCCCATCTGCTTGAGTTAATCTCAATATAATTTAAAAATAAGTTGTTTGGTTCTTTTGTTTTTTTCTTTTTCTCCCTTGATTGGCAAGTATCCTTTTGTCTTTCTTCCCTCTTAAGGATTTACCGAGGTAGAAGAAAGTGCCTTTTTTCCCCATCCCTTACCCTCTCTAAGCTGGAAGGAGAGATGGGATTTCTAATTGCATAGCT